GTAAGACCTGAATGCCGAGGGTCTTCATGGTGGCAAGCAGCTGAAGCATGGGAGGGTTCCTGAGAGCAGTTTAGGGTTTAGGGTTTTGGGTTTTAGGTTTAGGGCTTAGGGCTTAGGGCTTAGGGCTTAGGGCTTAGGGCTTAGGGCTTAGGGCTTAGGGCTTAGGGCTTAGGGCTTAGGGCTTAGGGCTTAGGGCTTACGGCTTACGGCTTAGGGCTTCGGGCTTCGGGCTTAGGGCTTCGGGGTTTGGGGTTTGGGGTTCGGGGCTTGGGGTTTAGGGTTTGGGGCTTTGGGTTCAGGGTTCACCCTTATCAACAGGCAGGGGGCGCTTTGCAAAGTCGTTCTTGGGGCCCCTGCCTTCCCTGCTGCCCCCTGCTATACTTCCCCCGGCTAAATAAGCCCAATCAAGGCTATTTTAGGGGGGGAACCTAGAGGGGGTAGTAGGGAAACCCATGGTGAGCTAAACAAGCCTAATCAAGGCTATTTAAGGGGGGGAACCTCGAGGGGGGAGTAGGGAAACCCATGGTGAGCAGACGGGAAGCAGCATCCGTGCTGCGCTGACAGTCAGCACCTGAGCTGGCGCGAGAGAGAAAGGCGCTGACTTTGCGATTTGCTAGGGCCTCGGGCCAAAAACTCCGTACTGTAGGGAGCCTGAATGATTAGAAGAGGGGTTTGGGGGGGGTATTATAGTATAACTATAAAGGGACCATAAGGGAAGATTATTTGTAATTAGTCATTCCTATCGTCCCCTTAGAACCTTAATAAAAACAATGTGCTTAATATCCTCTTGGCGTTTATATAAACAAAAATATGAAAACAGCTCCCAAGGGGAACATACAGTATTCCGACCCCTTCAAGAGGCACAAAAGACTGGACTCGCGGTGCGGTGGAAGCCTCCCGCAAAAAGAAGCCCCCGGGCTGCTATCCACCAAACCCCTACACCCTAAACCCTAAACCCTTAACCCTCAACCCTAAACCCTAAACCCTAAACCTCCCTGGCCGACGCTAGAGAACGATCTCAAAGCCGAAGCCCACTTGGAGGTTGATGGGCAGTCATAAGTAGGGATAGAAGTTTGGCAGCTGTAGCTGTAGCCCTATCTAGGGTACTTGTAACAATACTTCTCTAACTACCCATGAACCTCCAAGCCCTAAACCCGAAACCCGAAACCCTAAACCCTAAACCCTAAACCCTAAACCCCAAGCCCGGGCGCGTTCATGAGCAGGTACACGGCAGCCGGGATGGCGAAGCTGGCCTCGGGGCTTGCAAAGCCAAGGGGTTCCGGGTTCGTGGCTTGATTCGGTGTTTAGGGTTTAGGGTTTAGGGTTTAGGGTTTAGGGTTTAGGGTTTAGGGTTTAGGGTTTAGGGTTTAGGGTTTGGGGTTAGGGTTTAGGGGTTTAGGGGCTTAGGGCTTCGGGTTTGGGGTTTAGGGTTTAGGGTTGGAAACGAGCGTTTGAGATGAGCCAGAAACCGACCCTACATGGCCAGCAGTGGCAAGCGACAACGCCTGAACTTCGCGTGTAGAGTCGTTCTTGCACCCCAAAGCCCGAAACCACAAACCTGACAACAACCTCCCAAACCCCTGCACCCGAACCCGAAACCCTGCATCCTAAACCCTGTAGAGCCTACAAACCCTATGAAAACCCTATGAAACCCTCTGAAAACCCTATCACCACCCTTGAACCCCAAAACCCCAACCCTTGAACCCCTAAACCCTAAACCCGAAATCCTAAACCCTAAACCGAAGGGGCCGTGTGCTTCCAGCCGTTCCACACCACGGCCGACAAGCCGCACCTCAAACGGTTTTGAGTTGTTGGGGGCCCCGTAGTTTGGGGGTTTAGGGTTTAGGGTTTCGGGTTAAGGGCCTAGGGCACAGGGTTTACATATACTTCAGAACCCTGTTAAGGAAGGCAAGGGAATTAAGGGACACTGCAACTACCCTTAGACTGGCGCTCGCTGAAGGACTCCAGTGACTTATGGCTTTAGATGTTCAGGGCTCCTGGGGTTGGGGGGCATATGACTTCAAGGATTAAAACTGTTAGATTTAGGGTTTAAGCGCTAACCTGCAAACCGGGGACAAGCATAGCAATGCAGAACCATGCTTTGTGAATAAACCCTCAACCCTAAACCCTAGACCCGAAACCCTAAGCCCTCAGACCTTTCTGCCGCCCAGAGGGTTGAGATTTTCGGCTTCAGGGCCTTGGTGTTGGGGTGCAGGGCTGAGGGTTTGAGGGGACTCAAGCGATTTTTGGTTTAGGGGTTAGGGTTTAGGGTTTAGGTCTTTTTTGTGTAGTGGGTTTAGGGTTTAGGGTTTAGGGATTAGGGATTAGGGATTAGGGTTTAGGCGCTACTGTACCTTCAGACTGAAGCTTGGAGCGAAGAATCTCAGGGTCTTGAAGCCCAGGAGCGCCCGTCGGACGAGGAGCGCCACGACGCACATAGTGACCTTCAAAGCCTCCGTAGAGTTTAGGGTGTAGGGTTTATGGTTTAGGATTTAGGGTT